GGGGGGGGGGGGGGGGACAGATTTACTATTTATACAAAAGTGATTTCCCTTCCAATAGGATGCTACTGTTCAAATTTGGTCAAAATACCTTCATCCCGACAGAAAAAAGGATATTAAAGCTATTCCTCTATGTCCCTTAATGGGCCTTGCCTCTCTGCCCCCAGGGGTGTCAGACCCATCGTTTATACAAAATCCTGTGAAAAGGATGTTTTTAACCACATTTAAAATATATTCCTTACACTATTGCAGAAGCAATTTATGTTTTCTCCTTCTATACATCCCTATAATAACTTGGTGAGCTCTTATTTTGAGTCAGAGAGATTCAATGTAAGGAAGTTTATTCTTTCAAATAATGAAATAACTGAGCAACTGAATTGTATTGTATGGTCTTGGGGAGAAAATATCAAATTATGGAATATCATATATAAAATTACGTCCAAATTTATTTATTACAAGAGAAGCAATTTAATGATTACCCCCTAAATAACTATATGTAAGTACTGACACTATTCTAGAGGAGTGAGTCACTTCTCCGTGTGCATGTGTTGATAAGTTATTGTTTAGAGCGTCAGAGTTACCTTTCTTTGATGATGCATCCTACCATCATATTTAGTTCAAATCTATGAGCTTCTAAAGATGCACCTTTTAGTTTTCTTGTTTATAAGTCTCTCTATAAACCCAGTATTTTACTCCTATGTGTTGCCTATTTCAGGACTGGAAGGACTTGGTATGGCACCACTCACTATAAGAAAAAAATGTTCATTTTTCATAGACCTCCATATGCTGACAGCTTTACTTTGCCCATTGCTCATCGATTCCTGATACAGCTTACGTTACCAATACCGTACCTAACAGTCTCCGCTAGTGTAGCAACGAGTTCCTGTAAAGTGAGCACGTCTGATAGATCCATATCTCTCTGGTATTCCCACGACTTCCGGTCTAGTGGCATAGCGTTTTCCCCACTTATATTTCTGGCGAATGCCTATCAAAGGTAAAAACACTATTCGTTAACATGTTAATTTGTATTTGATCCATAAGTTTCTGGATTAATTATATCAGATTCCTGAAAGGGACCACATTAACAATCATGTGTACATTGTTGACATTGATGACATCTTGAAGGCATTCAGAACAAACAAGCGATTTTGTCAGACACTTTCGGTCAAAGTCATTGATGCCCCTTATAGAGTTATAATGGTAAACCAAAAGAATTTAGATGAAAATTGACATATATGCCGTCAAAAGTTAAGATGTAAGTCGGTATTGTTCAGACTTTGAAAGCTTTGTAAACAATATGTTGGACATAATGTAATAAGAAAAAAAAATCTACGGTGTGCCTAACTTATCAAATATATGCACCTTTCACTATCCACATGCTACATGCTTAAAATTGATGTCGCTGACAAACTCAAATAAGTCAACAATTTTGTTACTTGTTTATCATGAGAAAGGTGTGCATGTGTTTTTCCCCATCATAACCGTTATAATAAACAGATTAAGTTATCATACGCATATACTATCGTGAACAGTTTATATTTCGAAAGAATGTCTTTTTTATAAACATGTAAGTGGATTGTCGAAATAGCGCGAGCACACGTATCTACAAAAATAATTAAAAGAGGTTATTACAATTCGAGAATACATTTTGTTTCAAAACTTTAAAGAGTTGTCCCTCTTTGTATGTGGAGCTTTTCTATTCATAGTATACTAAGTGATTGCTATCTTATTATCTATGCAAGATGATGATCATGTGCTGTTTGAGGAGAAATTTGTTCATAATTTCGAGTATGCTTGTAAAAAGTGACTTGCTATTGTACCATTAATGGAAAAAAACCAAAGAACTGTTATTTTAATGAAACCAATATTTGATTGTACCATAAAAGAGATATATCTCACCAAAATTAATCGGTCGGAAGGCCACTCTCTTCACTTTGCCTGGAGAATTTTCGAAATGTTTCAAGAAGATTGATGGTGACTTAGTCTAACTATCCTCGATTTGAATTGATACATGTTTATTAGTTTTTCGTGTTCAGAGTAAAGAGAACAGAAAATAAATATACATTTCGTTTGAGGAATTTAGTTTATCGTAGTCCGTTTATCATATGAGAAGACGATTGTATTTTATCATTGATCATAATTTCGTCAAGTATATCTGAAATGTCATTTGTCTGATCTCGCAGTGAGTTTTGTCGAGCTGTGCATATGCTCTTCTCGAAGGTGAACGAACGAAACCCGAGCCTTAGTGACAAAAAAGTGGACTCGTATCTTGAGATTTCACAGGAACAAAACTGTTTTGCACCATTATTTAATATGAGAGTAACATAAAGGATAATCTTGAAAATTTGAGATAATTTGGAGGTTTTAAAACCGTCTACCTATTATACCTGATACCTCTAAGTAGACGATACGGGAATTCAGTATAAGACAATCTAGTTTAAAATCGATTATGTTGAATTCCTTCCTAGATACCAAAAACAAACTGCATACTTCAAACGACCTTAGAGTCCTAACAATAGTATAAGCCACAACCGACAGTGTTTGACTATTTTATAAATTTCCTTTTAAGGAAATAACTTATAATGTCGACATTTAAGAGCTTTAGTTCCTGCTAAAGGCTTACACAAAATTTTGGCAAGATTGAATAAGATGCATTGTGCAATGTCCAACGAATCAAACAGAAATACATCAGAACAATAAAACCACCTAGTAGACAAGGTATAACTAACAGATCCGAATTCAAGTCTGTCCAATCAAATCTCCAATATAATCCGTCCAAATAAATATCTATACCGGTCTGTTCAAGTTACCCTTTTAGCAACTATGTCAATAAAATTTCCCTTCCAGTCTCGAATTAGTCTGGTCTTGCTTTAAGAAAGGAACAGTTCATGTATGTAATGCACGTACATGTACATGTAACCCATTTTCTAACATTTAAGTTTATACTTATTTCAAATGCATTATATTATCCAAGGCGAAATGTCTCCTCTCTAAGACCAGGTCAACGTTACAAAGTTATACATCAACAAAGTATGGAGATATGTGTATTAGTTCAAACAATAATTTTATTTCAAAAATCTACAACCAGATAATAAAAATGTACATTTAATTACTATGAAACTTGAAAAAATATAAAATGATCACGTTCATCAATATCAGGAATATATGTATACAAATGTACATTGGTCATTATCTTTTAGATGATAGAGACAATAATGTAAATTTAAAACAATATTATATTATATTTCCATTTTTCTTCACGAAACTTGAAATGAAACCACTTTACATATAAATGCAGTTTTTCTAAGTCCGCCTGTAACAGATAAGTCTAACTCAATGAGCCTTTGATTCAAACCAAGCAGTGAAGACAGTAAAAGGGAGACAACAAGTGATAATGTTAATGGAATACAGTCTTTAAAAGGTTTTGCTTTAAATAAAAAAAATACTGTTACAAATGAACCACGGGGAAAAAGTTCATACTGTTTTGTTTTTTTAATTGTTGGTCCTATACTCCCTCATTTAATCAATCTTCACCTTAATCACGATAAATCTATCTCACTGGGGACTGATATTCCCCGTGCCACAAGGCTGTTGCAGTGCCTCCTCGGGTATGTCATCGTACTCTATCAGTTGCCATGGTTCCTCTTCCGGTTCTACATGTAAGCTGGACTTGCACTGCCTCGCAAACGTTTTACAATTGTAGAAAGCCAGACTATACTGATTTTCCCCTAGTTTTGATCTAGCCATTTCCACGACTTTCTCCGGATCTTTGCATGTTCCCTGTTGGTACTCAACCTTGAACAGCGGCTTCGAGAACGGTATACACTCCTCCACAACACCACGTTTATAACTGTTACGGATCACTTTGATTTTGTCAACCCCGTTGTGATCCACCACGATGGCGTGGCAGCGCGGATGTAGTACCCAGCCATAACCTACTATGTGATCACCATATTTTAGGTCGGCGATACTGGTCACCGCTCTATCATCGGCTTTGAATGTGGAGGAAATCGCCTTGCCGAGCACACTTCCAAGGGCAGTGCCAGCCATTTTTCCCACTACACCGCCTATGATCCCTCCTACGATACCACCAATGATGATACCCACCGGACCTAGTGGTGATCCCACAGCGATCCCGATGAGTTCCGGACCTAGGGAGCATAGAATAGACAACCCAGCACTCAACACACCCTCCACTAACCGTCGGATGGCAGTTTCGATGAAATCGTTCCTGGATGTATTTCCCTTTTTTCTCTCTTTGTACGCCTGATTCAAATCCCAAGTAACAAATCCTGCTTCTAGTACTATCACAATTCCAGCACCAACAAAGTTACTTCCTTTCATAGCGTGTTCGATTCCTTCTGCTGAGAAGATTTTCCCAGCAGCCATAGACGTATCTTGTATTACACTTGGTATGATTTGTTTCGCGACAGAAACTGTATGTTGTACAATTAAGCATGTGCCTTTGGTAATTGACTTGGCAGCCAGAATGATATTTTGTCCGACGATCTCTTTACATTTTCCTTTAAGCCAAGCTAGCTGGTGTGACTTTTCAACNCCTGGACCGAGCTCTCGCCAACACCAGTTCTTGGTCATTGGCCTTTGTAATTTCCTCCGAATAGTCAATACGGTACATCTTGTTAAATAGTTTATTTTCATTCGGGTCCACGTTGTAACGGCTACGGATGATTTTGATGCGGCCGTCCTCCTTGTTCCAGTGAATCAACATTAACTCGCTCGTCTCAGCAATAACTTCTGAGACAATGGCGTGGTGCCAGAAGAAGTACCGTCCTTGCCAGGAGATTTGGTCGCCTGGCTTCAGTATGTCAGCAAAATGTGTCAGGTCAACTTTTGTTTTGGAACTTCGAACTTGGAATGCCTTGATCTCACTATGGTTTGGGAGAGGCCTTGATAGCATCTCTTGCATTTCACCATACTCCTTTGTATCCTCATCGTCTTTGACGCGCACTACATATTCCTTTGTTAGATTCTCTGTCTTACATTTAGTACAAAACGTACCGATCAACTTGTTTTCGCTGTTATGGTAGCGTCTGTGTTTATAGACATCGATTTGTTTACAGATGCACCGACTCGTAGGTGCAGTCGAATCTCTGTCCGTGTCCGCCATTCTTTAGTGCTGTAACATTATAAAGCGTTAAAGAAAATATCAATTAATAACCAAGTGGAAGTATTTCCATTAACAAAATATCAATTTGAATTCTTCATATACATTTAACATAATTCTTGGTTAGATGCAAGGCACTGTTTTATATACTTTAAAAATAAGTAGATAGTGTTAAATTATCAACGTAGTCAAAATTGTACATGTTTTACGTCCAATTAACATCTATGGTCACTTAAGGACGTGCCAGGTTTTTGTGGTGGGGGAAAGCCAGAGTTTCCGGAGAGAAACCACCGACCTACGGCCAGTACACGGCGACTGCTGAACGTAGGTCTCGAAACCACAACCCAATAGTGGAGGGCTTATAGTAGCAAAATGTTAGACGCCTTAACCACTTTGCCACTTTATTTGAGCGTGTTATTAGTCAGAACAGAATGTAGCGTGATGTTATGTCAGTAACTGACATTTTATATAGCTATCCTTCCCTTTTGTTTTGTATGTACATTATATTAGGTGTAGTTCCTGTAGGTAGGGCGTAAGAATTGTACCTGCTGTACCTATTGCATGATCGTAAGAGACGACTGAATTTGGGATCTTATCTTTTCTCTTTTTTCTAAACAACTTTCTTCATCTTAATGTCTCTTTTGACAATGCCTCACTTTTGGCCTTCAGTTGAGCGTTCACTTCTGTGAGGAAGGTTTTTGGTTCTGTCCCCTGGCCGAGACATACCAGAGTCTGTAAACATGGTAGTATCTACCCCTGCTTAACGTTCAGAAATTTAGGAGTGGGACGACTGGGTTCACCCGTTGTCAGTATAATGTGCCCGGGGGGAGGGGGGGGGGGGGGGGGGGGGGGGGGGGGGGGGCTGCTGGGTGTCTTCGGCAGTATGTTTCAGTGAGGTAACACTATAAAGTCGGCATCAGTTCCGGTCAGCCTCCCAACAGCCTCCCAACAGGGGAATTTCCAACATTTTCTATATCAACATTAGTGAAGTGGAATTCCCAAGATGTTCTATATATAGACACAAACATTCCAAATATAAAGTGTTATAATATATAAATATATATAAATCCCACTTACGATAAAACGTTCTACAGCTATGTTAGGGAACCATGAAGGTTGTATATAATCACAATTTGATAGGAAGACTGGGATCAGAGCAGCATGAAAGACACATACCACAACTGCAGATACCATAAAATTGTAATAGTTATGAAAGTAGATATTTTTGACAACCTATACGTAACAGGCTTCATCACTATATATATATATGAGTGTGTTAACGCTGTAAACCCAGCTTTAAATAACATTCTTGTTTAAAATCATGTTTTACAGACACTTCAGTACGATAGTCGAAAACTTGAATCCATTTTTTCTTAAGTGCATGTACGGGATATAAATATATGTATTTGAACAGATTCCGTTTTATGGGTTATTGAAAAATACCTATCTAACTGGCAATGCTGGTTATGATTTTCACTTTAGCTTGCATGCAATCTACTATGAGAAGCCTCTGGTTTATGTCTATGTAAATATATTATTTATATGCATTTTATATATTGTAATCAGGTGGTTAATAACCCCAACTAATCGATGAATTCCAGTTTATGGCAGAAGTTCATAGCAGTCACCTAACTTAATAAAGTTTCAAGACAATGCATGGTGACCACCATCCTTTCAATTTCAATACATTTTATTGCCAAAAGACAAATGTATTCGGCAGCAGGCATAGCCTATTTAAGCACTCTTTAAACACAGTAACAACCAGTAGTACAAGCATAGACATAGACATTAGAACACATACAAACATATATAAACAAGTTGATATTAACAAATAAATTATCAAAGTAGGTGCAACAATTCCTTAATTCTATTTCTATTGTAATTTGATATAATGGTTTAAATTCTAATCTTTTATTTTGAAACTGAAAAGGCATAAAATATATATATAGGTTATCAAGAGAAAAGAAAATTATTTGTTTATGGAGCTGCATGTATAAACATTTGATGGGATTAAATTATCGCATTCAACAGATATATGCCAACAAGTCCATTTTATCACACAAGGCCATCAACTGATGAGTTTGAAAATTAAATCCCACCAAATAGTTCAATTTATGCATATTAAACAAAAGTTAGATATATAATTAACATGTTGTAAAGCTTTATGTTCTTATTTATGTAGTTGTTTCCCAATATTCTGTTACAAAATAGTGTAACTGGTCTTCTAAAGCCCAGCCCCCTCATCATCAATATGAAAAATAAACAAAATAAACAAAGAAGGAAAATAGGAAATATTGATATCAATTTTAATATGATTGTACCATTTTTGGAAATCAAAAGAATTACATTGAGCAAATGAAGGGAAAAAAATGAATGAATGAATGATTAATTTCATATGCTGTTTCAAATCTAGAACCACAAGAACATGCATAGGACTCAGCTAGATAATCTTTCTGGTGGTCATTTTTTAAGGGACTTGCTTTAATTCTCAACTGACAGAGAATAAAATTAGTTTCCGGATTTCCTAAAAACTTAAAGACATCAGTTGTTCTTGTGAATGAATTTGGAAAAGGTGTTTTTAACTTTTTGAACCGATAGGCGGAACGATACTATTTATTTCATTAAACATGGATATAATATTAGAATAGTTCTAATCTTGTGAACAATTATCCCAAACAACATCCGATATTCAAATATGGGTCTAATATATGATATATTTCATCATTCTTAAAATATAATTCTTATATATTGATTTGATAAATATCATAAATGTGGTCATTCCACTTAGCATCACCACTGATTGTCAAACCAAGATGTTTATGTGTTCAGCTGACCGCAAAAGGTTCATAATAAAGTATACATTTTGGTGATGAGTAATAAGTTTTTTAAGAGAATATAACAGATTCTGATTTATTTTAATTAACTTTAATATCCCATTTATTAGCTCAGAGTCTTATACTGCTTAGATCATATGTAAGGCTTTGAGCGAATTCCATTGGATCATCGCTTGTTACAGCATACAGAGAAGTGTCATCAGCAAACAGTGTATTTCATGGGAAACACAGTCAACAATATCATTTATATATAAAGTAAAAACAAAAGTGGACCGAGAACCGAGCCCTGTGGTACCCCTGCATTTACAGGCCTGATGTAGATATATATCCCTCAGTTGACACTCTTTGTTTACTGTCATCTAGACAATTCATTACAATTACAGGGGGGATACAGTTACTTTTATTATTTACATTTGAAACAGTTTTGCAATTTTCCACCAATCATTTGGAGCTATATTTGTATGAGCGAATGATTTTTGCATAATTTAAATATAATTATTCTTGGCCTTTCTTATTTTACTAATTAATTCGTTCCTTATATGTTTGTAGTTTTCCCAATGACATGGTAAGTCACTTAACTTTGCTTTTATATGTGCCCTATTACCTCGTCTGATTTAAAATGTAATTTCATTTGTCATCCACTTTTATCACTTGGCCTTACTGTAACATTTATACTAGAAATACATTCAGATATTTGTTAATTAATAGCATTACAATGAGTATTATAAAATTCATTACTATCTTGCAATTCTGAGATTGAACCCAATCAGTCATATTACGTTCCTATTCATTTTATCATACTCTGCTTCCTGATAGGGTAATATTTTTTTCTGATAATATTTTTGTTTAAAGACATCAAATGGGATACTGAATTGAAAAAGAGAATGGTCACTACAAATGGGCGGAGAACCAGTTACATTTTTAATTAAGTTTAAACTATTTGAGAAAACAATAGCTAATGAGGTGGTAGATGTTGGAGTTATGCGTGTAGGTTCATGAACATAGTTTATAAGATTATATTTTGTCTACCAAGATGACTATGAGGTTTTGAGTTAATCATGTTTATATTTAGATTGGTTGTGAGATTCTCAAACAAACTGTATTTGTCCAATTATCCCCTTTAGAACCTCTCTCCATTCATATGCATAGTAACAGCAATAATAATCAATATCGGAATTTCTCTTTGTCCAGGGTAACAGAAGTTGTTAAGATACAGAATTATATGGACGAAAGTTTACGAGAAATATTTATGGACGTTACACTGTACGCGGTGCATTACGTGCATCGCTTGACGAATAAAAAATTGTAATAAGTCACTTGAGTTATTTCATAAATGACCTTCATCAAAATTAAAAATTCTACATGTATTTACCTTTATCATGTTTCATTATTTTTAATGATTCATTATGATGTATAATTCTGTTTTTAAGACCAATTTTATTTTTTAATAGTCCAATGCAAATATGATACATTTTAGAAAGACATTCTTTGATAATTGCTATCTTTGTTCAAAGATGAACCTAAGACACAGATATGTAATTGCATCTATAAATTTGGTAAAAAGATACAGCATGTCGATAATATCATTCTGACCCGACACTGTGATAAAATATCTGCCGACGTCGTTAACAAGTCTAACGGGTTATCGGCTATGGGTGTAACGTTGTGTTATGTGAAAACATTTTAAGTACTGCATCCTGTTAAAGGGTAACTCACTGACTAGACCACGTGTGGTAGCGTTCCGTATGTGTGGTGTTAAAGTGTACAGGGATATTACCATTCGGGATGTGTGTCATGCTAGATAGACATGCACAATACTTCAAATTTTATAAGCTAAACACCTAACGTAACTTCTGCCATACCGTCCTGGGTAACCTTCTCCAAGGCTAGAGTAAGTCAGTAATAATTTTATCTTTTAAATCCTATTGACAAATTATAGTCATTAACAACGGAATCATCACCTACTCTGAGGCTAATAATGTTTCAATTACTCCTTGATGTGTAATTTGTGTTAGACCAATTGCAATTATCGGTACATAAAAGAATAAAAGGCTTCGCTATTTAAGGACTCACACAACTAAATAATTTACATTAATGTTTTTTACCCAACATTTTAGCTTATAACTTTAATACTTGAAGTTCAAAACCAGTGACAACTGTCTAGATTCATAAATATATACCGTACAAAGGCTACAAAATGACTTTTTTGGTAGGTTTAGTGGCATATTGGAGTGTCACAGCGCCAAGAAGTTGACAACCGCAAGTTTACATGCAAAACCGGTGACCCAAAACAGAAACGCCCCCAAACATTGTGCCCCTGTTCAAATCCGCAAACAGACATGGAAATATATCAAAAGTATAATTTTTTCAAATGTTAAATACCTGGAACAATTCATTTATCTAAAAATCTGTCATCAGTTCCTTATTAAACTCCTTTAGTGGCCCAGTAATTAGCTGGAACTTGTTTTCGATAGAAACTACAAACGTATGAAACACTTGCTGATTGGCTGATTTAGTTGTGCGAGTCCTAAAAGTCTTTTGTGTCAAGTTATTGATTCAAGAGACACGCACCGTGAAAAACAGAGAAATAACCACAAATGCATTTGAAGAGCAGACCTAATGTATAAGTTGTGTGAGTCCTAAAAATCTTTTGTGTCAAGTTATTGATTCAAGAGACACGCACCGTGAAAAACAGAGAATTAACCACAAATGCATTTGAAGAGCAGACCTAATGTATAAGTTGTGTGAGTCCTAAAAGTCTGTTGTGTCAAGTTATTAATTCAAGAGACACGCACCGTGAAAAACAGAAAATTAACCAACAAATGCATTTGAAGAGCAGACCAAATGTATACATGAAATTGATTGCCTTTTATTTGAGATCATAATGCAAAATCTATACACAAACATGTGTGTTTTTATTACGCATGGATGTAAGCTCAAACGCACTCACAAATATAGATAATATCATTGTTTTTCTAGCTTTGACAAATATTCGATAGTTTTACTTAATGAAGAAATATCATAATTAGATAACTTTCATTTTGACAATACTTGCATTTATACGTTGATAACGAAGTTTGAAAACTGTCTATTCATGATACGATGTTGCATTTTTAAATACTTGTTCGATTAGTTCCAGTTTTGTTCTATATTTGTGCATTTTTTTAGTTTGTATAAACATATATAAAGGTCATTCATGTTAAGTTTTAACATCAAAATTAAACAGTGATATTCAATTTGTGTCCTCATTTCTTTTTCACAAGAGACAAAGTGGGAGACACAACTGAATCAAGCAATTTAAGGCGCAGATCAAAAGATAATGGAACATTTCGATTTTTCTGTAACGATCGAAAAAGCGCATTATTTGCCTCTATTTTAGCAAGTTCAAATCGTTCACGTCAACCTGTCATTTTAACAGTAAACCCCTTCTTTATCTTTGTTAGGTCAGTGACACTCTACAAAAACTGAATCACCATTATTAACACATACTGTATGTAACTGTCACAAATCAAGTTGTAACTGGTCAGGTACAGTTCTAGGTTTATGTAGACATTACTCTAGGTGTGACGAAATATTCAACATAAGCTATCAGACTCAGATCTGTGCTTCGAAATATGTGTGACTATTACCAGGTTGTTTATATAAGCTTAATATGAATTCCCATTGTTCTATATTAGGCTTTCAGGAATCGCCAAAATGACAAAATCTTATTTATACGAAGGTAGGGGAAAAGTTAGAGGTCAACAATCAAGAAGATGACTATACGACAATACGTGGGTTAGTCCGAATTATTCTGACGTTTTATCAACCTTTTTCATATCGGTCTGTCGTCGATTAACGTCCGAACTCCGGCCCTCTATAATATGCGGGAAATATGCGACCCGCGCCCGGAGCGCACTTCAAACTGATATTTTAGAAACAATCTTTATGCACAAGATGAACATACATAACATGCCTCAAACAACCAATACAATCACTAAAAACATATTTTTTCAAACTTACTCTGTTTTACTCTAGGTTTTTTGATAGCCCCGCCTTCTAATGCCACATGACTAAAATCTCGCCGGCCTTCGTCATAACGTTGGGAAAAATCTTCGGTAACGCGAGATCTCGTCAAGTCATGTGACATTGCTCATGGCCTAATTTCCATTAAAAACATGGGTTGGTATAGAAAACGTTGGAAAATACTTTTCGCAATGATCTTTTAAACATGTTATTGATACCACCTAGTGCATAAAGAATAGATCTTTCGATCCATATGCGACATGTGTGTGAAAGTGACGATTTGTTTATAAAATATCAGTTTGAAGTGCGCTCCGGGCGCGGGTCGCATATTTCCCGCATATTATAGAGGGCCGGAGTTCTGACGTTAATCGACGACAGACCGATATGAAAAAAGTCGATAAAACGTCAGAATAATTCGGACTAGTGGGAAGGAGATCGTAAGGTCAGATATGTTTGCGTGAGGCAAGTACTCAACGACAACATAAATGTTTTTGTAAAGCCTTTTATACGTCAAACTTTACTGATATATATTATTTCCATTCTGAACACAACCAAAAACATTATGTTTGTCTACAATTTGCATTGCTCCTTGCCCAACGCTGACCTGAAGGAATAACTTGTAAGAGTTACGTCGTGTACTCGGATTTAAAGAGATCCCCAAATTCACTTATTTTTAGCCCTCTAGAATGTTCGGACACATGCAACATTATCATATCTAGGTGTTCAATTACATTAAATGTAGAAAAGTAGAAATAGCATACAACCTTTGCAGGTTCGGGAAAGAAAAGATCTGCCAACCCCATGCCAGGTCGTATGATGCAAATAATGTTGCGGCCCCTGCAGAATAAGTAGTCTTCTCGGTGACCTCTACTAAGATACTGAGGAGATCATAATCGAAATGCTTACCCGTTGCTATTAAGTATTTCTGTCTTTTCTCTCCTTTCTACTCTTTTCTTTAGTCTTTATATCACTATCACTGTTACAGCGAGTACGTTAACCTCCAATTAAAACTGACAACAAACAAAATAGAACCAAAATCTGCATCTAATACGTTTAATAGAAAAGATATTTGCGTACAAATTACTCTCGGTTGTCGATAAATTAACAGCATTCCTCAAACTCACAATTTGTGGATAGAATTTTAAATATTGACAATATCAACCTTTTCCACTGAAATTGCACACAGCTTACACACCGGCGAGCCCTACCTTTAGGTAGACCGTCGACAAAGCAAATAATTGTCGAGCAGTGATAAGCCAGTGTCTAATCATGAGAGGCTCTGTGGGAGTTATACTTGGTAAGGGCCCGGGTATGTTCAAAGATATCACATTGTGTCACATGCGGAAAAACCCTGGAACTAACTTCAGCCACAGGTGTTGAGCAAATATTATATTATATAAATAATATAGGATATTAACTATTATTATCTTATAATAGCATACACAAGGTGTCCTGCATCTTTTAATTCAATTAAGATTGAAAGATAATTGAAATTGCCAAATTTGAGATGCGTCCAGAAGCCATAACTCAGTATTAAACAAAATGAAAGTGTGTAATAAATATGCATTTTACGAAAGTGTGCTAAAATGAGTAAATTTGTAAGTTTCAATTCAAATTATCAATTAGAAAGGAAGTTATTGAGGAAGCAAAACATTTTTTCATTTGTAAATTACCTAAAACAACCCCCTGACTAAATCCTCCGGTTTATATAAACAATTTTAAAGTGACGATTGCATTTCTATCACTTTTCATTCTTTTATATATGCCTGTTTAATGTACATATGTTTTCAAAAACAGAAATGGTATCATTTTGGTGTTTTAGCTCATTTTGAAAACATCAAAATTATATTTGGTACCCGAAAAATTCTCTATCGATTAAACGTTTTACCTTAGTTTTTTTTCGCATGTGATAAAAGGAGACATCTTTGAATAAATTAAGGCGGTGAAAATCCGGATATACCGAATTGAATAAACAATATGAAATATCATTATGCATTTACCTTTCATGTATGTACAAGTTTTATTATACGAATGTAGGTGGGACTGATCAGGAATCCGAAGATGATTATATGTTGGCGACACTTACTTTTAGCTAGGCGGTCGTCATTACAAAAATGACAGTGACGAAATAGTAATTTATGATGTTTGAGTTATTTGATATGTAATATCTTGTATTCTATAGTAAGCTTGTACAAATACCCAAGACGATCAAGTTAAATTTATACGAATGTAAGTGGAAAAGATCAGGAATCCATAGGACGACAAAGTGTTGTTAGATCCAGAATCAGCAAGATGAGAAAGTGCTACTCATATGACTTATATGAGGTTTTTTAAGTAAAATCAATTTCATTGTGTTATAATTACCATAACTTAAGTATGCATACACACAATACCTACACCAATCTTTGTGGCCCAAAATCAAAAGATTCAAATATCCAGCCCTCCATACAGTCATGTAACCAATATCTCGACGACAGGGCCACGGAGTGATCTCCCATCCTCAAACCACACCCCTAAAGGCAGTCGGGATGAGAAGGCAAGGGACAAAATACAGGATCGGACTCCACAAAGTTATGGTAAGTATTAAAAAAAAACATTATGAAAATTGTTTTTCTTCAAAAACCTCAATTTCATTTCAGTAATAATTACAATAACTTAAGTATGCGAATCCTTCTTACCGTAGAGGAGGCTTCCAATCCAAATCCAGGCAGACCAAGCTGACGAAGCACACTCGAGACATGCTAAAGGTAGGGATTTTTCAAGAAACATCTGATGTGAAGTCTCCCTAAGGATACAGTCGTTAGCCGGAACGGCATGGCCTGGAACACCTTTCCGTTGCACGTATAACGGAGGTACTTCCGTTCCAACTTCTTGAACGGGATGTGAGAGTAGGCGTCCTCCAGATCTACTGAAGTTGCCCACATTTCGAGAGAGAGCTTTCTGCAGCATGTCCCACACATGCTCGATGGGATAAAGATCCGTTTAATAGTCTCTTGTAGTAAAAACTGCTCACACACCCTCGCTCTATGTGGCCTAGCATTATCGTCCATAATGATGAAGTCAGGGCCGATAGAGCCAGCGTAGGGTATGACATAGGCATCAAGGATTTCAGCGCAGGATTTCCGTAACGGTACCATTATGGAAGACATGGAGGTCTGTTTTCCCATGAAGGCTTATGCCTCCCCACACCATCACTGAACCTCCGCAATATCGGTCATGTTCAACAACGTTACCTGCCTGGAACCTCTCCCCAGGTTGTCTCCATACTCTTATGCGCCTGTCCGTGAAGTCGAGACATAATCTGGACTCGTCAGTAAAAAGAACCGGTTCCCATTCCTGAAGAGTCTAAGTGCTGTGAGCTTGGGCCCAATCTAGTCGGTCCCTAACATGGAGGGCAGTTAAGGCAACTCGTATTGCTGGTCTACGTGACCTTACACCAGCATCATGAAGACGGTTCATAACTGTCTGAGTGGCTACCCGGGTACCAGAAGCATTTAGGAGGTCATTTCGTAAAGCTGTGGCAGTCTGGTACCTGTGACGCCGTGCATGTATGAGCAAAAATCGGTCTTGGCGCTGCGTTGTAGCCATAGAACGACATCCAGCATGAGGTATGGAATCCACATTCTTACCACCACACTTTGAAACACCCAAAGGTCTACTGCAACCTGACGTTGAGACATGCTAGCTTGCAGCATTTCGATGCCCCTTTTCCTTTCACCGTCATTTAACCGTTGTCTGGTTCGTCTTTGTGCCATATAAAAACAAAAACACGCAAAGAATATTCATCCAATTGATTTTCTTAACAATTTAAACAACGCCCTACTTAGCCTAGCTTAGCTTGTGAAAGGGGTGTACACGTGGAAAAGCGTGCACGCGCTTTTACGGTGGTGGTTATTCCTTCGCCCTAAGAATGCAAAAATCGTTGGCTCTAGTGCCCGGCATACTGGAAAACACATGCTGGGCTCAACCTCAGCAGCCTCATGGTCAACCTCATCCTGGACATCCTCCTCAGAGGGCAACCAGATGAGAGATGAACAACGGCATCGTCCCCTGCCACATCCGCGCCCTCAAAGTCCATATCCTCAACACCATCAAGACCAGAAGTTTCAGCTGGTGGAAATGGGCAAGCCCGAGGGGCCAACTCGAAAGAAGGCCCGTCCCACGTACTTGGAGTAACACCATAACTTGCCACTGAGACTAGGACTGGCCACCTTGCCAAAAGGCGAAGATGGACTGTCATTCCCTCCAGGTGAAATCCAGACATGTACGCTTGAGAACTATGAAGGCCTTACAACAAATAAGTGTAGTAACAAGAGCAGATGGGTATATTGCACACAAATTGTGCAATAAGTCGACAAGACACTCAAAACAATCCGAATAAACAAAATTTCGATATGGAGCAAGCACCTGGCCGTCAGCAAACAGCTGGCGCCATAAAAGGAAGAGAATGGGAGATCACTCCGCGGCTCTATCGTCGAGATATGGGTCACGAGACGGTAGGGAGGCGGGATATTTGAATCTTTTGTTTTTGGGCTACAAACATGGGTGTAGTTATTGTTTATGCATAATAAAGTTATGGTTATTATTACTGAAATGAAAATGCAATACTTGTAGAAATGTTATAGGACAATGCGATACGAGATGTCTTTTTCTATAAGATATTATTTTTTACAATTTAGGCGACGGATCGTGGGCATCAAATCTTGTCGAAATCGCACTGAATTTAAGAAACGAATTACATATTTATACATCCAAATAAAAACCCAAGCATGGGACATTATTTATTTTTAAATAAGACATATCCAGCTTTTTTCAAGGATTTGAAAAACAGCGGCTGGATAAAAATAGCCGTTTATTTATTTCCCTACTTGTACCATAACATATGCGCTTCATGATGGTTTGTTTTAGGGTTGTCAACGGTAAGCCGGTTACATGGTCGGAAGACCACGAACCGGTTAATAAAATCATTGACCTTATAGTCGGACATGTATTAACACCTTTGGGAAGCCCCATGCTTCCATGGATTAGACCTACAGATTATCTACAGATGCGACAAAAAAATTGTAGTAAAAACAGTGTTCAGGCTGACCAGTTGGTGTTGTTTTTGTACATTGTACTATATTTAAAGTTTCAAGTGTAATTGACTCAATAACCTTTGTTAAGGTCATTATCATTATCGCTCGATAACCACAATCATTCTCGTGCGCGTAATGATACATACATTGTGTACATATGTGTACGTCAACAATCCGAGGGTTTCCATTGCTATTTTCGGAGGTAAACAGAAGTTCTATACATACATTGTTGACATTTATATATTCCGATGACGTCAATTTGTTTAAAGTGCCCGACTCTATGATGATTACTGCACCAACTGATAGGACGGCTGGATGTTGTGTTTTTCTACGTGTTTGTGTTCATTTACATACGTTTACTTTGATGACATAGTGTAAACAGTACCCAGAAATACGATAGTAAATTCAATTTTGACAATAACGTTCGATATCGGCCTACAGCAATTTTGCCGTAATACTTTCAACTGTACTCGATAAGGCTGATATGGTAATCACAGGACGGGTTCGATAAATTTACATGACCTACTTGTCATATGCCTGCCTAAATACTGATAGTTAGATAACAGCACACGAACTGGGTTTTGTAATAGTTGAATTTAAAATCAAAAACATATAATTACTTCGTGTGTTTGTGATGTTGTTGGCACTGTGCGTATAGCAAGTTACCGTTGCCGTGGTGTCTACAAAAACACGGGAGAGTTCCAAAACTGCGAGCCGTTGGTGCCATATTATAGCGTTCCAGAGTTAAACGGGACATCTTCTGGTATTAAATATAACTGTTGACTATCTGGTAATGGCATGAGAACGATATGATTTTATTATTACAGTTTACGAGTGCGAGTGAAACATTGTACGTTGTGTTAAAAATAGCCGCATAGAGCAACTTTGAAATAAGAATTATTCGCTAATAAATTATGATTAAATGTTAAAGAGCGACATACAAACCAATGTAATGTTTATTTTGAAGATATGCAGACGATTTCGTTCGTATAAGTCCTAGTTTGGTCTTATCATGTCACGGTGGCCTTCGAAGCGTGGCGCGAAGCGTAACCGTACCAGAGCTAGAACTCGCTCACGGGTGAACCAGTTGTCGGCGTTACCCATAATGCTGAACGTTAAGCAGGGAATAACAACTACCATTTTAAGGACTTTGGTATGTTCCGGCCTGGGACAAAACCCATTGGCTTCCTCGCTTCAGCGAACGCTCAATACTTAAGCCAAAAGCGAAATATTGGCAAGCAAAGCGTTCAGAAATAACAGAAATAAAAGAAGTAGAAAGAAATGCAAATATCCCAAATATTACAATGGGAGCAGCCAGTTGTAATAGGAGGGTGACCATTTGGTCCCTACTGGTGCCACTGCAGTAATAATTAAATTAGTTTGTTACATATTTTAAATTTCGGGTTCATTTTCGCAAAATGCATTTAAAAAGTTGGATTGCATTACAACTCATCGGGTTGTAATGATTAACCAAAATGATGTACATGAAGATTGACAAATATGCCGTCAACTTACACAAGTGCAAGGTAAAAATGTAATCGTCAGAAGTTAAAATGTAAGTCTTTATTGTTCAGAATTTGAAATCTTTGAAAAAAGATATGTTTGACATAATAAAAGTTGTAAAATAATCTTTGGTGTGTCTAACTTATCAAATATATGCACATTTCACCCTCGCTGCAATAGTGTGTCTAGTTGAAGCTATATTTTCAACTCGCAACATTTTATCTGTACCCAGTAGCCAGTCGAAAACTTATCTGGAAACGTACCTGTGAAACGGCCAAATTATTGATGCCAGAAAGTCTCAATTAATAATACAAACCTTGCATGCTAGACTGAAACAACATCAAAGTGATATGTCTAATGAGCAGTCCAATAAGATTATGTATGAACTTTATACTTCTTGGCCCAGTTGTTCATAGGTTGATTAGCTTACTCATTGTTTAACGATATTTATCAACCTTAAATAATGTCGTCAATATACCAGGTAAAATCTCACAATTTTGCATGTAAAATCACTCTACTAAATATTTCAATGGTTTGTTCTAAAGATACACAAGAATTAAAATTTGTGCTAATCACTGATTAAGCTAATCACCTTTTGATTAATTGGGCCCTTGTATCAGTCTGAAAAATGGAAACAATTACCTTATCATGGCTGTAGATAATATTCTGTCAAATAATAACCTAATGGTAAAACGTTTACATTGATTCAGAATAAAGATGATATTTTTTCTAAATATCCTTTGTAACTTTTCAACTGATATGAAAATTTACGACATAGTTTTCGGTCAATATCTTTTTAAACCTTTCTGGAAAGTCACCTATTTGTTCAGGCATGATAAAAAAATAATGCATAGACCTCAGCAAAAGTTTATAATTAATTACTCTTATAACATGAGCAAGTCATGAACAAGTTGTGCAAGCGTCAATTCCCCTTTTATCGTCATCATCGGTAGATGAAATCATATACATATACTATCGCGAATAATTTGCATATTGGATGTCTATTGTATATCCATATAAGTAGATAGTTTACACGAGGACTTTTGGGCCTGTATTCCGTGAATTTTATGTATGATGTAGGTTGTGAACAAATATAAACGATTTATTTAATTGTGAATACCCATA